TGTTCCTGATTTAAAAGAAGAAAGGAAGATACTCCACCTCCTGCTCTCCTGAGTCAAGAAGGAGGAGGAGAAGAGAGACCTGAAAGTGGGGAAATCTCACCAACTTCAGTTGAAGAAAGGAGAAAATAGAGAAGGAGAAGGTTTAAGGGCTGAGGGCAAAAGAGCTGATGCTAAAAGGCAAAGAGAATTGTTGAATAAACATATTTCAGCAGCCACCTCCCAAGACCATCAAGCAGCCAGGCAAATATCCATTAATTCAGAAGAATAGGAGGAAAAAGCCTGAAGTGTAAACTCTGGAGCATAGATACAGTATATATAGCCTCTAACTGCTTTGTTCTGCAATGGACAATCAACTATTGTTGAGGATTCATTCATGCTTGCAGTGAAGATTTTAATCAAGTTTGGGGATCTTTGCTCAAGTTTTCCTGAGTGGTGAATTTAGGATTGAGTAACTGGAAACTTGTGATTTATTGTTGAGCCCAGATATGAAGCCTGACTTCATGCACTTCGAGATGTCTAGAGAATGCTGGGCATTCCAATCTGCGGTTGGATTTGTGGTTGCTCAGCACTCTTGAAAGACAGTTGTGGGGTTTTGTGCTTGTTTATCCTTGTTAAATTCAAGTGTTTTCAGTGCAGTTTGAAAGTTACGGCATTCAGTTCTGAGAAATAACTAATGCATTATCTATCTATCTATCTATCTATCTATCTATCTATCTATCTATCTATCTATCTATCTATCTATCTATCTATCTATCTATCTATCTATCTATCTATCTATCTATCTATCTATCTATCTATCTATCTATCTATCTATCTATCTATCTATCTATCTATCTATCTATCTATCTATCTATCTATCTATCTATCTATCTATCTATCTATCTATCTATCTATCTATCTATCTATCTATCTATCTATCTATCTATCTATCTATCTATCTATCTATCTATCTATCTATCTATCTATCTATCTATCTATCTATCTATCTATCTATCTATCTATCTATCTATCTGCTTGCAGAATGTCCTAAGTTCAAACCACAGTATCAACATTTAAAAACAAATAAGGTTTTCAGGAAAGTCAAATGATATGCATCCAAGGATGAAAGAACCTTCAGTCTTCCTAAATATTGTGGACTTCCATAAAGCAAACTTCTGTTTTTGATCGAGACCTTTAACATTTAAACAAATCAGAGATTGGTGTGAACATCTCTTGGCTGTTAGGATCAAAATGTGAGCAAAAGGCTTCCTTTTTTATTTGGTTTAAACTGTGTTGCAAACCTGAGGCCCCTGAGCCACAAGTAGATTCCCAAAGAGCTGGATACTATCTCCACTGTCCCTTTAAAAATTGCTATCTAGTTCTAATTTTTGATATGAGAAAAGGGAGAAAAGATTGAATAAATGTGCTTTATCCTGGATCCTATATCCTGCTTGTACCATCTTTTTGGATGTCACTCAAAGGCCAAGTGTGGCCTTCAGCCTAAAAAAAGATTATACCACCCTATGTTATGATTTAAAGCTTTCTTTTCTGTCCATAGGCCAATCTCCAGTAGTAAATATGTGTATAACAAGTGTTCTTTTTTAAGCCGTACCTCACAAATGATCAGGCAAGAATTCTCAAGGAATCAGTGCACATTTATAATAATTCAACCTTCCATATACTGTGTTAGGACCCACACTGGACATGTACAAAAGAGCATATGCTCATCACATGTCCTTAACTACATGGATCTAGTCTCCCAGCTTTGTAATATTTACCTCAGGGCAGATATCTCCAAAAGTATGTACTTCCAAGCAAACTATTAGTTAACTGCATAAGAAAGCAGAAGCCATACATATTTATTTATTATCAAATTTATATAGCCGCACATCTCACGTATGTGACTCTGAGTGGCACACACAATTTAAACATAACAAT